TAAGGATGAACTGAGAAGTTCTCCAGTTTTAAGAACTCAAATTCACCAAGCAGTTCCAGGCAAGCTACCATCTTCCTACTTTGGCCCCCACCTGCAATAAGGACAACAACACTGGCCTACCTCACAGGGCTGTTGTTAAAATCTATGAGATAATGCAAAGCACTCAGAAGTGCTGTGTATTCTTGAAGTTCCAAATGAACAGACTCAGCTTCCTTGCTCAAGTCCTCTAGAGCCATTTTGTCCTGTGTCATCTCATTTCTGCTTTGGTCTGGGATGTCTATACAGTAATCACCTCTAGGAGCTATGGGGAATGGGTGAGCTCAGCAGGGGATGAATTAGATGGCCTTCCCGTGCTCTGATTCTATTATTATCTAAAGCTATTTCTGAAACACGCCCTGCAACACTCTTCCCTAGCATTCCCCTGACAAATAATCCAAAAATGATAAACTTTGCCTTTGACAAATTCAAACAATTTAGAAATCAAACAGGCTTTAAAAATGTAGTTTAACAAGCATTGAAGGATACACCATCCTTGATCTTGTAACATCCTCCTTGTGCGATGTTAGGTCAAATTTCTAAATATAAGAACAAGTTTGTAGAAGAAGCAGCCATTTTGCATGGACACCCACCTTTCCCAAAGTCTGAGACAGCGCATCAACAAAACGAAAATAAAGATATTACACAGACAGATGGTGTGGGAAGAGCTTAATGCCTTAAATACCTACGAGCCAGCTTCACCCCTGAACTACAACACTTCGTCCAATCCCTACTCAGGCATGAAACTCCTTGTGTGGCCTTGAGAAAGTCGCAGTCTCTCAGCCTAACCTACCTCATAGAGTTGTTCTGAGGATAAAAGGAAGACAGGATAGGGGGTGGGAAACTATGTATCCCACTTTCAGTTCTTTAGAGGAAAGGTGGAATATAAATGCAATAATTTAATAATCTCACAGATCAACATGTGGAGGGCTAATATCACCAGACCTGCTCTCCAATGCACTAGGAATGGCTCATGTCGGTCACAATCATACTGTTCCCCACAGCAGAGCTGGTAACGCCAAGGTTGCAAGTTCAACCCCCGTACGGGACAGCTGCATATTCCTGCATCACAGGGGGCTGGACTAGATGATCCTCAGGGTCCCTTCCATAGAGTTGTACTCTATGATTCTATGACGTTGGCACACATGCTCCTTGTGGGCTGGCCGGGACCACTGGCCTATCAAAACTTAAAACTTTCAGCAGGCAAGCTAACACAATTGTTTCTCTTTCTGGAGAAATCTAAAGGTTTTACACAAAAAGGTGCCTTATAAATGCCTTATAAATGGGTTGAGTCTTTCAGTTTCTTAGTTAGATATGTCCTTATCGTGCTCGGTTGGTACAGCAAGAGACTCTTAATCTCAGGGTTGTAGGTTCGAGTCCCACGCTGGGCAAAAGATTCCTGCATTGCAGGGCGTAATAATAATAATAATAATTATTATTATTATTATTATTATTTATTTATACCCCACCCATCTGACTGAGTTTCCCAAGCCACTCTGGGCGGCTCCCAATCGAGTGTTAAAAACAATACAGAATTAAATATTAAAAACTCCCCTAAACAGGGATGCCTTCAGATGTCTTTTAAAAATAGGATAGCTGCTTATTTCCTTGACATCTGATGGGAGGGCGTTCCACAGGGCCGACGCCACTACCGAGAAGGCCCTCTGTCTGATTCCCTGTAACCTCACTTCTCGCTATGAGGGAACCGCCAGAAGGCCCTCGGCGCTGGATCTGTGTCCGGGCTGAATGATGGGGGTGGAGAATAGATGAGTCTTCGTGGTGCCTTCCAACTCTGCAATTCTAAGATTCTATGATACTATACGGAGTTTATGGGTGCCAGACTCCCATGTGTTACGAGTTTCTGGAGAAGGCCACCTTGGCTACAACTGAGCTACATCATGCTGGATCTCTTTAATGTACCAGTGGAATGTTGTGAGACCACACCCCCGTGCCTAGAATAATACCATACGAGATATTCACAAGGTGAGTGATCACATCATATCACATACCAAGATGCAAAACATGCCTTGCAGGCTTTTATTTTACCCAAGGGAATCACAAAGCCATTCTAGATGTAGCACCTTGAAATCTGTGCCAGTTAGGTGAACATACTGCTACAAGAATTGAGGAATAAAGCCAGACATTAACAATATGTATTGGTCTTTACATAATTTCCATTATTTCCCAGCAGCACTCATTTGGCCCACACATGTCAATCGTTTTATTTTAGTTCCCTTCTCTAAATCTTGTAAGAATTCCTAAACCTTAAGTATCTAAGCGGTGTACAAAAAAACGTAAGCAACAACAGACAACTTAAAACAAAATATTACAAAAAGACAGGCTACATATAAAAATGATACATCCATACAAAGTTACTGAGAGAAAGAAAGAAAAGTTTTCAGGCTAATCAAAAACAAAAATGTATGGTTTTAAAGAGGCAGGTAACATTTTTTTTTCAAGTTAGCATTTACCTATTGGCAGTGTTGGGAAAATTCCAAACCCCCAAAACTAAGCCATAGCTAACAGTTCTTGTGCCTTACTCAAACCCAAACTTTTTCCTATAATATTTTTCCTATATACTGTTTCCTATAATCATTTGAAGTGGGCAGTGCCCCAATCCCATCTTGCCTGGCACTCTGCATGGCTATAAGAGTCCATACTGGCACACCCTAGTTGTGCTACTGACCCCAAGTGGCTTATCTAAGAAGCTAGGAGTCATTTGTTTGCTGAACACACCAGAGTACATATTTTCTGTAAGTCGGATGAATGTAAATGCCTATCCGTAAGATTCTGAATACAAGGAGAAACATATAAGGATGGCGTGAACAGCAACTCTCATGAAGACTGCTGGAGCATTAAAGGCAGTGCTTCAGCATCACCATCTAAGATAAGCAAGAGGCCTCCAGGGCTATCCTTTCTCCACTAAATTGGCTTCCTTCCTTCTCTCTCTCTTTATACACACCACACCCAAAGCAATGAGTGAGCCACTTCCTTCAGGTATGCAAAGTCTACACTATTGGGGAATATGTGTACTGTATTACAATCAAGAGATTAGAGCTAATCACATGGCCCTTCCCCATCTGCTAGTATTCTTCTTTCCAGTACAGGGTGGCAAAAGATCACTGGGATCTAACGCATGTACATCCTTCCCAGAAAACCCCAATAGCCTTTTCTACACAATAAGCTTGATACTAGTAGATACGTTCGTTTTTGCACAAAATAAAATCCAGAATAACTCAGTGAAACAAAGATTTGTCCGCATACTACTTCCTATTTTGAATGGTTAGTTTTTAACCCCTTTGGGCTGTTTTGCAAAATGTTTGTTTTTAACAGGTTGTAAGTGATTGCAGGAGTAAAAATGAAATGATGATGCAAAAGAGAAGAGGAATAGAGACCATGAAGCGGATTCATACAGGCCATAGTAGCTCCACAGTCTGGCTGTAATATGTCTTAGCTATTATTACTATTTTACTGCTTTTGCAAAAAATGACCAGCACATTTTCAAGTGTGCCTTCAGTACTATGAGCTTGATGATGATATCTGCATTATTTTTAAAACCTCATCAATCTAAACAGGCCAAATATCAGTTTCCCAGAAAAATTCCACATGTTGCAAAAGTGATAAAATGCCAAGACATGGAAAGGTGATGGTAAGTAATGAAGCTTGTTTTGAGTTCACAGTTTTGCTTAGCATGCAAGCAACAAGAGTCATCACGACAGGCCTCCATAGGAAAACACCGATGATAGGGTAGAAAACTACATTTCTGAAGCAAAGTAGAAAATGTCTATGATGATTTCTTTCTTGTAATTTTATATTGGATTATTTATTATTTCCTCTCCATGATAATCAGATCCCTCTCTTATCAGCAACGCATTTCCGAAATACAGACACACTAAAATCTGCCTAATAAAATATTATTGCTGCAAAACATGCTCATTAGCTCAACTTACAGCGCTGGGCAAGTTAACAGGTTAAAATATTGGCCCAGTGCCCAGGTAGAGGCCTACTATACATCTCTCCTGAAAAGGAGATATTTCCCCCATATTTCTGGGATGGTGTCCTTAAGAGACCTCCTGGGCAATATGGGACCAAAGTGAATATAATAAATCCAGCTCAGCAAAATGCCCAATTTTACTTTTTTACCTATCAAACCATTTACATCTTTGTAATCTAATTAAGAAGCTTAGCCTTATCAGTCCCTTTTGCTGGGTCCTGCTATCTCCTTCCGATTGCTACCAATCCCAGAAGAGCAACCTACAGGTAAATCCAGCATCTGTTTTGGTAACAAATTCCAGAGGGAAGATCAACCAGATTATGCTCTAGTCCACAAAAAACCAGTGCCACAAAAGAAACCTGTCAGTCATTCAGGTAACCCAAGGCTCTCTTTTGTGTCTAGAGGCTTATCATTGCGAGTTACAAAGAATGCACCTGTTTTTACCCGGCCCTAAACACGCATCTGTATACACGATTTCAGTAGGCCCTGAATGCTCACATTCATAAAAGACCTAGTCCACAATTCCCACAGTCACTTAGCGGATGACCAGCCGTTTATAGTAATAAACACATGATAGACGGATCCAACTCAGACGGGGGTGGGGAGAGAGAAGGGGAGTAAACCATGATTGTTGCGTTACTCATCGCTGCTCTGACATCTACATCCTGCTTCAAGGACACTGCAGCCCGTTCGGAAACCTTGCAATGGGCCGGATCTTTCAAGCTTTTTTTTTAAAAAAAAAACACACCCCAAAAACCCTATACGATCAAGGCAGAGGTTAAAAGATAAAATAAATGATGCCGGTTTAATATTCTGGATGCTAAGAAATGCATAAACATACGTGTATATATAAACACAAATTATGCACCCCATAGGTTGTTTAATAAATAAATAAAAATCCCTCCCACCCTCATCAAGACTGGAGAACTTGAACCTGCAGGTTTTTAAGGACGTTCGCTTTGTACCTTACCTTTTTGACCTGATCATCCTTTAATTCTGTGAAGTAATAGGCCAGAAGCTGAGCAGCTATCATTCTGTCTGGTTAAATAAGAGCTTTTTCCCAGGGTGGTTTTGCTAACCAGCACAATTGGGGCGGGGGAGGGCAGCTGAAATTTGCAAGGATGCAAAGCGATCCGTTTCTCTCCTCCCCTTTCTTCTTACAAGCGAAAGATTCTAGAGGTCCTTGGTTCAGCCTCACAGGGTAAAATATATAAATATAAAATGCAACGCTCTTTTTCCCTCCTCCTTTCCCTCCACGCGATAGCGACCGACTATAAACCTGCCCACTTCCTGCCTTGCGATTGGCTGTTCAAGGAGCGGTCGCGAAAGAAGCGTTTTCCACACCCTCCTCCTCCCGCCGCCGCCGGTTTGATGGACAACCTCCGCTGCCTTCTATGTGCAGGAAGGGGAGGATGCATGGCCATGGTCACCCCGGACGGGCATGCACCCGTGCACGTTCCTCACGTCCCTACACATCCTCAAGACGCATTTTAATGGCCTATACCCGCTCTCAACACCTTCCGGGAGAAAGAGATCCAGACCACCGCCAAGCTCGGGTCAACTCCCTACAGATGGGCAATGCATTTTCATTGCTTTCCTAAGGCAGAACATCTCTGCACCGAAAGGCGCACCTCCTTGAGCACGCAAGGGCGGAACTGTGTGTGAAAGCACGCAGCAAACAGGCTTTAAATAAATTATACAAAAAAAGACAGCGGAACTGCTGTGTCACTGCAAAAGAAACGCATGCATTTTGAAAGCAGCGCGCAATATTTGACCCAAGCGCTTGCTAAGGCTCTGGCTGGTGCAATTTGCCTTCTGCAATTATTAGCGAAAGGAAAACAGGCAGCGGAACGGAGGAGACAGACACGCGCACGCTACTTCTAGACGCTCGGCCGTCTGCTGAGCAATGTGGGCGTTGCCCAAGTCGCTGTCATGTGACCTGCTGACGAGGACGCCGATGATGCCGCATCCTCTCGGCTTTTTCTTTCTCGGCTCTCTCCCACCCTTTGGAATAGTATTTGCAACAAGGACTGTTCGACCTGCTTTGTTTGGAAGCTGGTAAATCAAAGAGCGTTATATGTCCTGACCTTGCTGTATTAGGGAAGCATAATGTGTCTGAGATATAATAAGCACCTTTAAAACAAACTAAAATAAGACATTTTACGGTAATATATTACCGTAAGCGTAAGATTAACCCTACCAGCAGATTTTACAGCGGTACCCAAAGGTTTAGAACTATATGCATTTTTTTAAGTCACGTATAGGATCCGGCTGTAAGAGTGGGATACGTAATTGGGAGCCGTACATTTCTATATACTCTCGTTATAAAATCCTGACTCCAAATCTGTAATATCATGGAAGCAAGTCCCAAGAGGAATATGCCAGTTTTTCCAAGGAGCAGCAGGTCTTGGCAGGTTTGTAGGACATTTTTACTAGTTAATGCTAAATAGTTGCCTGGCCACATTCCTTTGCTGTCCCTCATATATCAAGGGCACGCTAGCTGCCAGTTCCTCCATAGCTTCAGCATCAGAGAACAGGATAGTTGTCATATTTGTCGTGTAAAGCAAGGCATAAAGCCTAGAAACTGTATAGTTTACCTCTCACAGAGCTACCATCTCCAGTGCTCTCAACAAACTACAGTTCCCAGGAGGATTTGGGGGAAATCATGTGCTTTAAATGTGCATTGGATGTGCTTTAAACATGGGTTTGTGGTTCTGCCGGTACAAGACAAAGCTCAAGCAATGGAATGTTACTCCATCCCAAAATAGAAAAACATCATTCGACCTCAAAGACTTGATATCAGAGGGCATGCTAGACTAAAAGGCTTTTCCTGGACCTCTGGTTTTATGTGTGTACAAGCCAGGATTCTTCTCCTTCCCTCCATTCATTCTTTGTTTCATGTGATCCCTCATCTGAAGTTTGACAGGTACACCCCAGACACAGGATTATGACCTTTGGAAGGGCTCATGGCATCAGAAATCTTCTGACTCAACGATAATATGACATGGAAAGATGGAGGGAAAAATCAACTCAGGACCATAGTATTGGAGGATGGAGAGATCAATCCTTCCCCCTGCACTATTTTCCGGATACAGTAGAACCTCAGTTTTCAAATGTAATCTATTCCAGAAGACCGTTCAACTTCCGAAGCATTTGAAAACTGAGGATTAGTGGGCTGGCTGCAAAGTCATTGGGGGGAAAAGAAAAACACGTCTCAGAAGCCGTTCGACATCCGAGGTGCGTTCAAAAATGGAAGCAATTACTTCCAGGTTTTCAGTGTTTCGGTTCCAAATTGTTCAGCTTCTGAGGTTCCACTGTAATTTAAAATTCCACCTCCCAAGCTGTTTTTTGCCTTGTGGAAAGAAACATACAGGTCCATTTGACATATTACTGGTTAATTTTTAACTAATATTACGAGGGACTTTAATTGGGAAGAGCCCATTTCACCAGGTACATGAAATAAATAGAGAAGATGGTCATTTTAATGTTGATTATATTTTCAGATACTGTATATAACTGCAGTGGGAGCTAGGAGAGTGGGTTATATTAATGCAGGGTTTGTTTGTTTTTTAAATGTCTTTCTTGCTCTGTCCTGATTCATTTCCCAAATGATAAAAGGAGCCAGGCTACACTTGGCCTGGCCAAACTCATGAAATTAACAGGATTTCCTGAGCAGATAAACAAGGGGCTGGGAAAAATGCATGCCTGTATCTGCAGCTGCAGTTTTCAGTGCAGCTGAGATAAGTGTACGCTGTGTGGAAGTGAGGACACCACAAAGCAATTAAGTATTCTTGAGAATTTGCCTTGAACAGTTCTAAAAGGGGCTACAGAATTTTGTGTTGGGGAAAATATGTTCTTGCTCTTTCATTTGCCCTCTAATACTGCAAATAAAACATTTTTTTCTCCATAAAATAGAGGACATCAGGTCCTTCATCTGGGCAACAATACAATGTTCTTTCCTTGACTTGTGCAGGGAGAGGAGTGCAAGGCAGGAACTGAAAGAATTCCCAGCTTATACTTTGCAGTCCTGTGCCAAACAAAGCTCTTTGATGCTTCATCAGTGTTCACATTGAAATTTCCACTAAAGTGCCCACCTTGAATTGCTCCTCTTTGCCTGCAGGCCTTAGCCTGCATCCTGAGTACAGTGAACCAATGCACACACACATACAATTTATGATCAACATAGCTTTGCCTTAGCACTGTTCTTCAGGTATATCTGCCAAAAAGGTTACCTGGTCAATCTATAATAAATTCTGAAAATCTATAGGTGGTATGCAGAAAGTTTTGTACTCTCTTCTCATCCAAATTCACTGGAAATTTAAGAATTCCCCTTTTCTATCTTTATGTGGCTCTTTTAGATCCCAGTCTTGGTTGGGAAGGCCGAGACATACAGTACATTTTGAGTACAAACTACATGTGACATCAAAGATCCATGATCAGATCAAACTCAACTGTTGCTGTTGTTGTTGATGATGATTAAAAGTAGCTGCAGAGTGCTCTCAGTTGAATTGGGAGCAGTGGCACAGGGCATTTTATTTTATTGCCTTTTTGGTCCATTTCCTTCCCATGTTGGCTTCACAATCTAAATCCACCCGCCTGAAACTTCTATTGGCCTCACATAGTCTTATTCCACTGCCACTCTGGGGTTAATGAGCTTTGTGGAGCTATTTAGATCAGAGAAAGGGTTAAAAGAAATCCTCTCCCAGTGCTAATGCTTCAACCCTTTAAAAATATCCCCATTATATTGCTTTTAAAAAAATAAAATGGTTGTGAGAAAGGGGGTTGGGACTGAAGCTCAAAAAATCTGAGAAACCCTGGCTTAAGCCATTCTCAATTTCTTGGTTCACCAGACCTCACAAGCTACGTGCACATTCACACATATACACTTAAGTGGATGACAAAAGGTCTTACTAAATATGGGAATACACTGCAAGCTTAAATATAGCTTGGGCAGTGATGTTGATATCTTACTTGAAGTACAGTATCTTGCTAAGCGTGGGGGGGGGAATCAACAACCAACACCTCAGCTAACTTCCCTTTACATTAGACAAACTGATACACCTAGGCTGTGATACAGTACCCACTTACATGCAAGTAAGTTCCTTTGACCTCAGTAGGAATTACTTCTGAGTAGACCTGCACAGGATTGCACTGCCCACATTATTTTCCAGAAAATCTTGAGGCAGGAATACAAGGCCATAACCACACCATACATTTAACACACTTAAACAGTCATGGCTACCCCCAAAGAATTCTGGGAACTATCGTTTGTTAAGGGTGGTGAGAGTTATTAAGGAACTCCTATTCCTCTCAGAGAGTTTCAATTCCCAAAGTGCTTTAACAACCAATCCCTCTTCCTAGAGAATCCAGTCCGAATTTTATTTGGGACCACCTAGACCCATGTGAACCTGACAGGCAATAGAAACAGGCCTTTTTCAGTACCGGCCCTAAAATTTGGAGCTCCCTCTCATGAATATCTCCTGCCAACCTAGCAGTTCGAAAGCACATCAAAGTGCAAGTAGATAAATAGGTACCGCTCCGGCGGGAAGGTAAACGGCGTTTCCGTGCGCTGCTCTGGTTCACCAGAAGTGGCTTAGTCATGCTGGCCACATGACCCAGAAGCTGTACACCAGCTCCCTCGGCCAATAAAGCGAGATGAGCGCTGCAACCCCAGAGTCGGTCACAACTGGACCTAATGGTCAGGGGTCCCTTTACCTCACGAAATATACACATGGCCCCTTCTTATTATCCTTTAAACTGGCTTGAAATCTTTTCTATTGCAATCCACTTTTAATTAACATGCTCAGCTGGGTTTTTACTCGCTTACAGTACTGCTGGTTTTATCTTAATTTAGTTTTGCTTTTTTAATTAAAGTGCTGCTAAGTTTTATTTTTAACTGCTGCTGCTGCTGCTTGGCTTCTGTAATTATAGTTAGACTACTTTTACTAAATTGTTTTTTAATGGTTGTTATTTTTTAAAGTGTTTGTATTCATTACATTACTGTAAGCCATTTTGTGAACTCACCTTAAAAAGCTGGGTATAAATGTGTAAATAGCCTGCAGTTCCAAATGTGGAAAGCTAGTGAAATAAAACACGATTATATAATAAAGGACATCACCATAGTGTGTGGTGTTAAAAAATATTAATGTTCCATTGTAATGAAGAAGGAGAAGCTTAAGTTTAGGAAAAGCTCATTCTTCTAATTATAGTTGTGAGTTAAAAAAAAAATATTGGAAAGGATGAACAGGCCTATTGAGAGAACCTTTCATTTTTTCAAAAGCTAACTCTGGCTTGAGTCATGTGTGCCTTGCTCCCATTGAATCAGAAGACAGAATGATGACAGGTTGCAATTATGGCAGCCCAAAGCCAGCAATGAACAGAAGAAGCAGAAGGGAAATCCTTATAATTGATGCTACGGGACAGATTAGTTTTAAAATGTGAGACTCAAGTTATAATCCACAGCAACATCATTTTTTAAATATGTTACAGTGGTACCTTGGGTTACAGTTGCTTCAGGTTACGCGATTTCAGGTTGTGCACCATGCTGAACCTAGAAGTACCGGAATGGGTTACTTCTGGGTTAACGGCACTTGTGCATGCGCAGGAGC